TGAGCTAACCTCATGACAAAGTCAGGCGTGTGGAAATATACTCAGTTAGAGACTTTGGTTTAGCATTATTGATTTTTTTTTCAGCCTCTGTAGGAACCTTTTTTTGTTAATGACTCGAGCATTATTTTGTAGGGTTCACCCTCCCTGCTGCTTCCTACAAATGTAATGTACTTAAAGAATGAAGTGTTTTGGTTAAAATAAAAGAAGATATGCCATAGTTTAAAATTTGTTAAAAGTTAAAATTTAAAGTTAAAATTTGTCTAGAAAATGTCGATTTAGTTGACCTTAGCTCCCAAGTCTCCACCATCAATATAACTATGGACTTATAAAGCTAAGGTATCGTCAGCCAAATCTACCCTAAATCCATCTGTCCTCTTAACAATTGCTATTTAAAATGTTTCGATTGTACTTCTATTAAACATGTTTTGCAATACTTGTAAAACCACAATCAGAACTATATTTTCATCCTTGTCTAAATTAAAAAATTACGAAAATGACATGCCTGCTTACTTGTTTAACGTTCTCTCCGTTGGAATTATTTTGTACCTTAAAATGCTATAATTTTGATGCATAATAATCTACATAGCCATTCATGTCTATTTTGTATTGAAGTGACATTTACTTTCTAACATGATCCCTTGCACAAGAAAATATTAATTACAATGTAATGAGACGAGGATGTACAGCTATATAGACCTCCACATCTTGGCACCACTTAGAGAGTAAGACAATTAGGCAACCAGGCAAACTGAAAAAAATCAGCGGAGCAATTCCCTTTGAAAACTGCAGAAATTTTTAGTCCATGGTCGGTTTGATGTTCCATGAGATTTCTTACTTGATGATCGCCATAACGTTCTCTGCCTTGTACTTGTTTCATTTGTTAAAGCACTTAATCCCATTTTCATATACCAGTTGCAAGTGTGTTGATAGGCATACCTTGGCATGCCGATTTTTATATCACACTTTACTCACTGATTGTCTGATTGAGTGTCTCATCTTTTTCCAGATGCGTTTCTTTTCATCTAGATAATAATAAATAACTGTTCTGTCATGAATAAAACATGGTTGTTTATCATGTTTGCTTGTGTCGTTCTTTCTATTGTTTTATCAGTTGAATTTTTGCTATCACCGTTTAGGACCCCTTCTTTTATAATCTGGCGTAGCAACTGGCCTTTCCTACACAGTGATACTATAAATAACTGAATAGAGATCAACGTTATTCTGATTTAAATGGCTTGACCTACCTGATTGCTAAAATGTGTTTTCTTTTTGTAAAACAACATATAACACAACCTTATATGTCTCTATGATTTTAGATTATATTTTAAGATCATTTTTAATTAGAAGCAAATATGTTTAAAGCAAATGAGTTCACTATCTAGTTTTATTTAGAAATTAGGACTGTTCTGGAAGCATATTATTTACTAATATGATCGGAATCTGACCCTCCTCCTGGCTCTTTTATTTTATCTTGGCTTTTATATAAGCTTGAAATTGTAGGCAAAATCTCCATTCCCAATGTTAGCATTAGTTTTCAGAGGAATCAGTTTGTGTTCTTTTGAGAGGATTACATTTATTTATTGTAATTATTCACTAAAATTATGAAGTGATCTTGGCTTATTTTCAGACAGCCAAGATCTTAGTAATTATTGTAAATTAATTCAAGGTTATTTTCGATTATATTATTGGAATATATAACGACTGTTAGCACGTCATATTATTACAGAATACAGGCACATCAGAACATTCGATAACAAAAGTATTGGAATTCATTTGGAATTCTCCAAACATATAGACTAATTAATAAATTGTTACGGCTATTTGGAAATGAACTCACAATACTGTAAGTTCTATCTAATTTTCAATTATAGTCTAAGATAATAAATCATTTGTTGAATTTGATGGTTGTCGCTTTTTATATTACTTAGTTTAAACCATTAAAATCATAATAAGGGATACGTACCATTTCTCCATAAGCCACATTAAAGTAGGCCGCTTTAGATATTCTCGTATTTCTATTATATACAGTTGTTATAACATCAAACCTCACACGCTGATATTAATATTGGTTTAACCACATTGAAAAAAAAGCTCATTTTGCAGCTCTATAAAACGCTTACATTTTGAAATTAATTCAATGGTAGAGTATTCACAAATGAAGTTTCTTAAAAAATTAAGAAGAGGGAAACAGGCAGAGGAATTCCTTATTTTGCGGTACCATTATTAACATCTTGTATTGGGTTACGTATGTTTAGCTTGGTTAATTGTTTAATGGAGCAGAAATATTCCCTTGAATATTTTATGCTCAAGCAATTGAGTAAGATATTTTGTTCAAGATCATAGTACGATGGTTTTGGCCTTACGGTATTTTATTTATATGACACCTTTTAATAAAACAACTCCAGACACTGTTAAAGATGCATCATTCAATAAACTGTGTCAAAGGTGTGTCAGAACGTAAATACTATACACATTTATAAAAGATGCAAATTTGCCATAAGATATACGGCAATAAATAAAACAATCAGCAGTCACATAGATTCACGGAAATACTTGACAGTGGTGGAGTTGTGAACCTTGATTTTGGTTCTGACATTTGTGCATGTTCTTGTATTGGCATTTTCTATTTTTGCTTGCAGTCACTGATGAGGATTGAAAAATACCTCAAACTTTCTGTATAAGACTGACTTGAGTCTTAATAAATTTATCATCCGTTAATGGATGTATGGAGAGGGTGGGAGGGTGGGTTTGCATACAATTGGGAGGATTTGCTTTATTCTTGTAACATATATCTGTGGGCTATCTTTGTTTGGTAGAAAACCACGCTATCATTTGAAATTCTTGCAGATAATTGCTAAATGGGATTAGTAGGAGTGCATTCTATAAGAGGGGATTGGACTATTGCTTGACGTTTTGTGTGATATCTAGAGTAATATTATATTTGCCCGATGAAGGCACGTATGCTCATCAGATTGAGATTTCTGGCCTAATGAAGTGTGATATTTTAAGATAACATATACATTCAATGAACACACATATAAGATATGGAATGGGTGTGGTATTTGTAGAGAATTATTCTTAGCCAGTGGCCTCACCATTTTTGCATTAGTAAATGCGTTGTATGGGAAGACAAATTACCTACCCAATGAATTCTGGTTTTAGACGCCTGTGTTTTGTGCATGTGTACCGCTTGCTGACTACTAACTTTCCCGGCTTTAAATATCTTATAGTTGGAATTTATTTGGAAAACCGTTGAAAGATAAAAGACCTTTGTTAAAGTAGAGAATATTGGAGAACTTGGAAAAAATTGGAAAATCATATTTAGTCTTTAAAGACGATAATTATTTGCAACCAAGCATATATATTGGAGCAATTGTATTCAGGGGAAAATACTTTATTGACGATTTATCCAAAATCCATCAATGAACCGTAATTTAATAACTCATATCTCCTTACGTACGGGTGTACCATAATCGGACCTATCCTATGGATGATCAGCGACCTTTAAATAGCAATAACTGCTACATATAGTCATAAATCAAATGAATCATGGTAATTTTTAACTAAATATTATCTTCACAATCGTCTCCAATGTATTAAACTTCTCATAATGTCAAACTTGCATATCCAACCTTCGAAATCGTAAGTATATCCCACGTCACACTTAAACGTACGCATAGCGTGTGCAACCATCTGAGACTTTTGTTCCTATCTGAAAAATGTACACGCTGAAACAAAATCTTGTGCTTAGTATAGTAATTGCGGTGATCCAATCCATCGTGCATTATTGTGCTTGACCATCTGTCATCTATTACTTTTCAGTAATTAGTTTTCTTTCTAACAAAACGGGATTCATTAATAGTTTCAGAATATTGAAGCATTTCCCGACTAATGAATTACACGAGTTTCCCCTGACCTTTCTAAAATTGAATGAAAAGTAAACTCAGATTAAATAAATATCAATTATCCTCTTGTGTTTAACTGCATGCATATTTTATATAACCTAAAAGGAAAATACTAACAGTGGCCATACTTCTCTCAAATTTCAACCCACCTCACCACTGCTGAATAAATCTACAATATACTGTTTAATATGTAGACTGTAAAGCAGAAACTGCAGATTGAGCCAAGTGACTTCCTTTTAAAATCTAATTGTGTTGATTGATTCTACTTCACCATGTGAAGTAATTGTGATAGGAACTGACATAATGTACAAATAAATAACTATAGAGTTCCATTTTCTGGAGATGCCTTTTATTGTTGTCATGACGGTATATCTGGTGTAGAGTTGCAGAGTTGCAAGCAAAATGCTGGCGCTACGTTACAGAAATGTAATTATGAGAAACCATGCAGTTGTGATGTTGGCATGAAATTGTGAAGCTGTGATGTAAATGTGTAGTGGTGATATTTGTGGTCATATATTGATCAGAGAAACACTATTTATAATCTGGACGCGTTGGTAATTTCGTTAGACAAATATTGTTCTCGAGAAGTCATTGTTATCTAAGGGGAAAACAAGTGACTTCTAGCAATATTCATTCCAGGTTAAATTCGAACTGTAAAGAGACCCATTTGGATTATTACACTATTATTGATACTTTAGTGGAAATAATAAGTTTGTTATAAACTAATTACAATATTTGCATATGAAACTATTACTATGATGTCCAACATCCGCATGATGCCTATTTACGTGGCACTTGAGCATTTCATATTAAGAAGACCTTTTGTAAATGTCCACTTAGCCGTCTAATTTAACAATTCAAAGATATACCTTGTGGTTAGCAAAATATAACTTTTATTTACTTACATTTACACACTTCAATAATTTATCAAATTCCTTTTAAATCGAATCTAGTGCTGAAAACAATATAAACAAATGGCCTGCTACACAATCTAAGCAATGTAAGTAGAACATGTGATATGACTTAAAGTCTTCAGTACAAATATTGTTATTTAACTTGTGGGTCCCCAATAACGTCTTTATTGTCTCCTTTCAGGTGGTTTGAGTGGTAAGAACGTTGCCCTGGGATGCGGGAAGTCCCGGGTTTGAACCCCGGTCGAGTCATGCCAAATGGTACTAGTAGCTGCTTGCTCGGCGCTCAAGTTTAAAGGGTTAATGTTAGGACTGATAGGCCGGGTCTTAGGATAACTTTACTGATTGGGACATGATGCTACATGTCTGCGGCATGATGACCAGTGTTAGACATCACTATTAAAAGCCACATTGCATATACCGCAGTGATATGATTAAAATTGTTAAAATTGTTAAAACTGCGCAAAGAATATTCAAGCACACACAATCACGCACACACACACACACACACACTCGTATGTATGTTCAAAGATAAATAGTATAAAGAGAAAATTAATAAACCGTCATCTCTTCAAATTCATAAGTTGCAATTTTTGATTATGGATTTTGGAGTTAATTGCCATATAATGTAATAGTTTATAAGAATATCATAAACATTTTTAAAGATACTACAATTCAGGCATTGACTAATGTCAATTAAATTTGTAAATTTTGGAAAATTTTATTTACTGTGTTAAATAACGTTTATCTAATATTTCTTTTATGTTGATACGATACAACCGAAGGGTAATATATTTATCAAATGCCTCTGTAGTTTGATAATAGGACATTTTCTTAGAGAAACTCCTGTCACTGGTCAGAGATCCAGAAAACTTTTGTGGATTTTGTTCAGTGGAAATAAATATCGATTATCGTGAATAATGTCTCGCTAAGTTATTTATTGAAGGAGTATGATATAAAAATGAAGATTCCTAAAACGCTTGGGGTATATGTTTTGTAAATTGTAACGTGGCAATAACACATACCGGTCTGCTACATTTATAACGTAGTCTAGTACAGCTCAAACAGAATCGTTCATGTTTTCCATTTCATAATGTATTTGAGTATATACCGCTTAAAATAATATTTACATTAAAGCAGATTGTAGGATCTACCTATGGGTCAATGTGCGATATCGCACGATAACTTATCAAATAAATTGTTCTCAACCTACTCTGTTGTTATCTGACATTACAGGCAAATCGTATTGTGTACATACTTACCTCGTTTTATCATGTTCATCAACGTAGTTAATCATTCATCTTTCGAAGTAGCTTAAGATATGGTCAACATGTTACACCTACATTACGCCGTTTGAAGCCTGACTAGACCTAAATCTACATTGCAGGGTTTTCTATATATCATCATCAACATCCAAGCATCTACAAATATAAATCACTCAGATGTGCAGTCAAAATTTATATTTCTATCAATATAAAGTCAAACTGACAAGAAATTAGCTTTCATGAATTAATCTCCTGTACCTCAGCTCACACCAGCTAGGATGTTTCGCCAATGATTTGCTGCTATTTAATGCCATTTCGTGTTGTTGTTTTTTTCCTGACATCTACGTTTTATCATTCACACAATACAATCGAGCACCATTTTAAGCATGTCTATGATTTATTCATCAGCCCATTAGTTTCACCTCAAACATATTACTGTTCTGCATGTTCAGGAATCATAAATTTTAACGAAATCGATTTATCTATCTTTGTTTAAAAATATAGATATATCTACATAGCAACTTAAATACGCGTTTTCCTAGCTTTCAACCTTACAACGGAGGTGTTTAATTAACAGTTTAAACATAAATACTAAAAATTACTTTTTCATCAATACAAAGCTACTGAAGTTCTCTTGTTTAAATACGAAAAAAAAAATAACGCATGCTGTCCCCCACTCCCAAAGCTACGCTACTGATTCTCTGACCTAAACATATAATGGCAGCTGAAGGGTTCGAGGATTCGGGGCCTATATTCTTCAGTATCGCATTAACCGAGAATCCCAGGTGTAAAGATCTTAATGGCGCCCCTTACCTTGCTACAGATAACACTTTTTATATCAATTGAATAACATCCCTCATATCAGCCACGTCTCCTAAACCTGGGTTATGGGAAGAATTGCCCGCAATTACACTAAGATTCCATATTTACAGTTAGGCATGAAACTGGAACTACTAAGTGCTTACTTGATGTAGACGCCATTTGCCGGCTTCGAAAACTCAATCTTCATATAGGAAGAAGACGATTAGAATACAACTTAACAGATTATCCTGCGAGAGAAAACACGTAAAAAAGGTACAATCTTGGACAATTAAAACTGGCAAGCAAATACCATCATGAGTTTATGTAATAGTTACAATAATCCGCAAGAAGTATAAACCAAAACATGCAAATGTATAAAATGAAATCGTAAAACTAGTGTTTAAAAGATTATTACATTCAAATGCAAAATATTTAATATTCACACAGAACGATGAATAACACTCTAATTGAACAAAGATATATGGCAATTATGAGAGAGAAATATCTGAAATCAAAGTCATAGACTGTAAAGTGCACACACAAAAGGTAGGCTACAATAATCACATACCAGGTAAATACACAAGTCTAGCACTACAACTTGAATCACATATATCTATAGTACATTATTGTTTCTGTGGCTGTAATATGAAGGCATTATTTAAAAATCATCCAGGTTAAGAGTAATAATTATAGCAGAAAAAAATAAATATATTTCATTTAATAAGTTTTTCATACGTTATTGCTTTGGGAGGCAGGAAAATAAATAATCGTTGAAAGGACAAGGAAAAAGATATCTTTATATAGCTTTAGATAGCTTTAGAATAATGGGACATCAAACAGATGGATGCATATTTTAGTAATTTTATATTCACAGAAACACTGAAACAGTTTATCACACATACAAACATAGCTGAGGAAACCCAAATACCAATATCACTACATGGCCTACATACCAATACAATGTATTTGTCACTTAACGATTGGAACATACCACATAATGATTATTAATATGCTTGCAATGTTATAAAACATTTATACCTCGAAATAAATGTAGAGATACATAATTACTATGTCATCCTTGTAATTATGTTTACAGAGTGAACCCTGCTCATTAATTATATTGGATCACTACTGTCTTGTGATGCTAGTTCAAAGACATTAAATATTTATTAGACCTGTACACATATTGTGACATGACGTGGAAGAATTAGCATAAAGTTATATAGATATACTGAAATAAACCATTAAACAGACAGAAAAATATTAAAGGACCATGTGTGCAAAATGACAAGGATATTCATTATGTGCCAGGAAACAAAATATATGTATAGATATAAAGAAACGCATGCCAGTAACGTATATAAGACTGATTAACACTTTGAATGGCTGTAAAGATTTTTTTTTTATTATACATTACTGTCGCATATTCGTTTTGCTTTCGTGTATTAATTTTGAAAATCGTTGCTTCCTCTGCTTGCTATAACTGCTGAGTTAACGGTATAGGAAATATTCAACAGTGTAATAAGTTCCTAATTTGCAAAAGCATTTCTTAAATCTATTTTCCATAGAGAATTATGTAATAAAGCCATCCTCTGTCTTACAAATAAGATCCTGTTTTGAATATTGGATTTATTGAATTAATCAAAAGCTATTCTAAATCCTTCCAAAATAATTATAAAATCTAAGTGTGGATCCACCATTTCCTGGACTTTTGCAGTGAATCATGTTCTTAGGCATTCTAAAAGAATTATTTCACCCTTCAAGTTGATTTTGACAAATTATTGTCTTGCCTACTAAATATAGTACAGTAGTAGTTTTTCATCTTATTACAGATTTTGAATTAGCTCAGTATTTGTGTATTCCGTTGTATATTTCAATTTTATTCATATTATGTCCTTCTTCCAGGTTCTAAAAATATTTATCATTTTCTAACCAATTACTTTTTAGTCGTACAATCATCCATTTTGTTTCTTTTTTATTATCAACTTTTCAGGTTCACTCGAATTTAATATGTCTAATTTAATTTATATTCTATATGTTCAATTTACTTCAACAATTAATTTTAATTCACTCCCCATATATTTTTTATATTTGAAGAATGTTCTAAGATGAATCCGAAAATTTCTAATAAAAAAAATGTCCAAGAATAATTGATCAGCCGTATTATCATTGTTATTGCTGTTGTTGTATTTGCTTTGCCTTTTCTACATGTACTTTCTCTTTTAACGAATTACTTAATTTCAGAACCATTTCTTTTAAAACAGGATAAGTTGAAAGACGACAAACGTCAGGGAATGGCTATACCAATAGTTGAGGCAGATATCCGTGTTTTCGCTATTAACAAACATACTTAATTTATCAAGGAAATGAGTTTTCTGAATTCAATTATATTCATTAATCTCAAAAGTATTGCTTTACGGATGGAAAAGATTCAATTATTTTTCAGATCCAGTATTCTCTTACTTGGTTTGCCGGTTATTTATTCTGTAGTTATGTATGTCACAATCTTGAACTAAATTCTAGTTTGCACAGACCTTAGTTGTAGGATTTTTATTTTCTTTGATAACTGACCCATATAACTGACAGGGATATATACTGTCAATTACACGCTTCAACATTTTCCTGGAAAGGGACTGTCAGTATCGGAGGAAAAACAATCACCATCCTTCGCTTCGTAGATGATATTCATGGTTTAGAAGGAGATGAAAACAGAACAGGCCGATGCGGTTGAGCGCTTCGACACAACCTCCACAGCATACAGTATGAAAGATTAGCGCCGAAAAATAACTGTTGACAGAAAACACCAATGGCATTAGTGCAGAAATAAAGGTCAGTCGACAGAAGCTGGAACGAGTCATAAGCTTCGAGTACATGGGATCAATGATCACAGATGAGGGCTCCAAACAAGAACTACTTTGCAGAATTGCCCAGACTACAGCAGCAATAACAAGGTTGAGACCAAAATGGAACGATACCAACATTGATTTTGGTTCCAAAATAGGGATGATGGGCTCGATTGTCATATCCATATTTCAGTATGCTTGTGAAACATGGGCACTCACATCAGATCTAGAAATTAGGATTCAAACCATCGAAATGAGATTCTACCACAAGATCTTTGGCATCTCATAAATTGACCATGTAACCAACGAAGAAGTCCACAGCAGGATCCAACGAGAAATCGGA